TCTCCATCTTTGATTTATTTTTCAGTTCAGTTAAAGCCCAGTGAAGAAGGAAAAAACAGATCGAAGAATGAAGACAAAAGAATAAATGTCGGCGCGGCTCCAGAAACAATGCAGCATATTTTTTTCACGGCAGAAAAATCAATATAGACATGGAGTCATCAGTCCTCTAGGCTCTCTTTGTCAGTGAACTGAAATGATACAATTTAGGAAAAATTAAAGCGTATTGTTATACAATCAGAAAACAAGGGGTTTTAGGTTGTGCTCATGATTTTTTATGCTCCTACTTCTAACAGAGTGTATTTGTTTTGAATACAACCTGTTACACTTCCAATTTACATCTCAATCGACCTGTTTCTAGAGATGTCAACCGCAGGATTCTTTATAATTGCATATGACCGTTTTAAAAAAATACAAAGACTTGTCTTTAGGCTCCCATAGAAATATTGCTGCATGTCTTTGGCAATGTTTTTCTTTTTCCCCTTTAACATATAAATAGTCTGCGACACAGAGTCAGAGTGAAGCCACTTCTCACACTAGGGCTGACCTACTGTAATCTATCATCTGCTTTATAAAGCTGGCAGCACAACATGGATATTCCTGTTGTTACTCAGTCTGGCAGTAATCTTGGCAGCCCCTCAGCAGATGGCGTGGTGAGGGTGTCACAGGTCTGGCCATGTTGCTGCTCCCTCGGCCCTCTGTCCTCTCCGCAGAGCCCTGCCGCGCAACACTCGTGACTAATGATTTCCGGTTCGTCACATAAGCTGGTGATCAGACGAACAGGCACGCATGGCGCTGTCCACTGCTGTTCTTCTCAGGTTGATTTCAAGACAGTGGGCCAGAGTTGGTTTTGATTGGGCTCTTGTTTTAAAACGCATTGATTAGATACACGAATTTGCTGTGTAAAAGTTTAATCTCTGGTTAGTTTCTGTTTATTGAAATAGACGCTTACCAAAATGATCCTTCTTCACAGCTTGGGTAAAAGGATGTTATCCCTGATGATATCAGGTGAACTATGAATTAATTCCCCTGGAGAGCTGTTAAGTGGCTTTATTTGCTATCTTCCCTCTACTGTCCCCTAATATCTTCGAAATGTTGCCGATTAATTCAGAGTTTAATCCCTGATTTACCTGCCGGGCTCATTCTTGCAAGAAGAAACAGCCTTGTGAAGCTAATTTCAGGTAAACTGAATCAATATGCTTCATGCAGACTGCTTAACTTTGTAAAAAGACACCCATGATGAGACTGTGAGCATTTTTTTTTTTATCTGCCCTTTCTTGGACATATATCACACTCAGACCAACTAAAAACGTGTCTTTTTTCAATTAAATGAAAATGGTTGGAATTTTTAGAAGAGAAAGTCTGAGATAAAATATATCTTGGTAATCCTCAACAAAGTTACAAAGATCAAATAAAGCCTTATAAATGTGTCCAAAGCCTTTTAAAGTATGGTTTTGTTTCTGTCATTGTAGCACTGGGATTGTGGCTCTTTCATGATAATGAACCTGGTAAGAGTAATTACTTTTGTAGAAATATTTGGAGATATATGGGCTCCACCAAAAGAGAAAGAAAAAAAGAAAAAAGGCCTGGTTGCAAGGCAGAGAAAGTCTAGAAAGAAATACAATTACCATCTCCTTGAGGGAAATATCTGTTATTTTTATATTTGTGTACAACAAGCCCAACAGACAATGATGTAAACATGACACCTGGTTCGACACATACTTAAGATAACTGTGCTGAGCAAGTCAAAACATAAACCTTTTTTCATAGCCTCGTATGTGTGCCAATGTGAGGGTGTGAGAGGAACTGCAGAGGTGTAATGTGATCATATCTGACATGGCACAAAGCCATGGGATCTGCTTTTACTTTCAGAATGTTGATTGCAAGCATTCTGAGATGCACACTTCCACAGCAGGACATATTGTGCTTTTGTCCGAGAGCCACAGAGACGAGCGCATTCAATATTTTTCTGAGTGGAATTCATTTGAGCTATATTTACAGCTCAGGTGTGCTTCTAAATTAGACAGCTATCCTGGTCTCAGAGTGCAGGCATACAAGAGAAATTGATTTATTGAGCAAAGTATTTCAGGCTTTTTGTTGGGCTTTTTTTATTCACCTATTACATCATGGACCGAAATACAAACAATTAGCTTTAAGCAAATCATCATCATGGCATTTGCTTTGTTGCACATCCTTACTAATCTGTACATTTTTATGTTTTGAGGTCTTCACTTGTTCCATATACTTGTATTCTGAAATCCTGTATCAACACAGTGTCTAAACCCCTTAGTTTTCAACATAACAAAGTGAATGATATTTTCCTTGGTAATAGCAATCAAAAAGGCTAACAGCATTAATTTGGAACAAGAATATAGTGCGAAGCCGGTAAGCCAATTTCTGTAAAGACCATTTTTATAGACATTAAGTTTTTCCAACAAATGACCAACAAAAGGTGATGCATACATTAGAAAGCAGTTTTAAAACATGCAGGCCTGTGAAGCTGTCCAGTTAAAGGGACTGGTTTGCTAAATCCTGGCTTAAGTGTTTATCTGTTGTTTTGGTCTGTGGTATAAGAGCTTAACCCAAAGAATTTCCAAAACCAATATTTTGAAAGCAGATATTATGACCCCAGAACTCAGCCCACCTGAAACATTCTTTTGAACCACCTTTATTTTAAATTCAAAAGCCTTGAATTAGTCAAATAAAACAAAAGTTGCATATATGTTCATGTTTTTGTCGTTATAATGGGACTATGAAAAGGTTTACTGTTGCCACTTCTGTGATCAAATTCCTATTGGGAGATAACGGCCAATCCCTTGTTGCTTCAGTAAATATTCTGCTATTAAGTAGCACTTATCATCGCAGAGTACTAGGGGACGTTTTACAGCTGAACCTGATGAGTGACTGAATTGTAGATTTTATTGAAAATTTGATTGCTCCAGTTAAATCCTTTTAGCAGCCTTCACTTCATATAATGAAAACCTGCTGAGTGTCGTACAGTTTCAACAGGTTCCAGTTTTAAATGTGGTGACTGATTGCTATTTAGAGGTGAGCAGTCAACTGAGTCAATACAAACTAACGCAGAGCACTCAATACAGCTATTAGCATCTCGCTTAGTAATTTGTCTGATTTGTTTTGGTCCCGACCACAAATCCTAATGAACCAGTGCAGGTTTCCATTGTAGTATAATGAGAGCTTCTCACTTTTACTTGTATCAGCTGGTCCCTGTTACTCTTCCATTGGCAATAAAAGCCAAACTTTAAACTGAAGCCCAGTAGTAATCTGTAATATTTTAATTTTCCCTTTAATTTCCTCTCACTCTGATAACCTACCAGAGTCCTTTCTCCTACTTTTTTAACACTATCAATTACTAATTAATGGTTACAAATGGAAATATCTCCATGGCGTTCCTTCAAGTTGAATCTCAAGTGTGTAATTATGTATATAACCACTGGAACATCACATTATTTTGCATGTGGAGTTGTGAATACTTTATCTAATGTGGGAGAATAAATCTTCTCCCATGGCTCTGATTAAAGTGGATTAGCACACATATGATTTTCTTGCCCTATCAAGTTCAGCCGAATGAAATAACTCATGCCACCTCGTTCCGCAAGGTCAATCTCTGGATCACCAGTCTGCTGACATCAGTTTTGGCCTTCATTTAAGTCTTCCAAAACATAATTAAAGGGGTCTCTTTGAGTAGATAACACCATGTTTGCTTGCTAGGGCTCGGCTCTCCATTATAGCTGGGTATCCTCTAATGCATCTTGACACAGCGGTCTGGAGTAATGGCTCTGAAATGTTACACTGAATCAATGCCTGGTGCCTTTTCCTCTCCCAGGTAATTTGCTTGGTAATGAGAGACGCTGCATAAGGCTGTCGCTGTGACTCTTGAGATCATGTAATCTGTTTTCCCAGTGACTCGGTAGGGTTAAAGAGTCTTGGGTTAATTAATTAACTATGAATCACTGAAATAGGATTTTACTGAGGGGCTTAATTTGGATAATCGCTGCCTTTCACCTTTCTTTAACCCAGTATGATGTCTGGCACTGAACTTTGTCATGGCCGTGAAAGTGTGTTTTAATGTCTGGTCAAAAAACTGTGTGTGTGTGTGTGTGTCTGGGGCCACGAGGTTACACGTGTGGACATGTGGCAGTTATTTCCCTTCTTGTCCATAAAACAATCTGTGTCAATCAATGTTGAACTAAATGACCCAAGATGTCAACAGAAGACCCGCCTAAGAGTGGTTTTCACTGCCACAGATAAGGTCACAAAAGTCATTTTGGCTATCACAACGGAAGTATTGTCCAGATATTGATTGAATTTATTATCTGACATGGATGTTGGAAGGAAAAAAGGGGAAAACACTCTGCTCTAATGCTCTGAGAAGACTGAAATGGATGATGGAAAAATCTATCATCCTTGGCCTGGAAGTGAACTTGTTGCTCTTTCAGCACGATTTTTCATTTGTTGACAAATATACCATCTTCCATTCTGTTAATAAAGAACATAATGTTTGTATGTGTTTGTGTGTGTGTACCTGGGATAGAAATAATGTTCCGTGTAACATGTTTGTAAAAGTGCAACACATTTGTTCATGTTTAACAGGACATAATACATGTTATAGAAAAAATTAATTTTATTATTTTCCATGTGGTTCAAATGAGTTCAAGAAGACTTTAGAAGACACAGATTTTTAAAGACACCAGTGTAACTTTCTCTTTTATATGACCTCTATAATACTTATTTTCCAGTATAAAACTTGATGTTCCTTTTTATTTTTGAGAATTCAAATACATTTTTTTTTATTTCAATCAGTTACATTCACAAATCTTTTTAAAAAAAAGTATAATTTAGATCTTTTTTTTCCTTTCAAAAAGCATTTTCTTAGCTAAATGTACTAATGTCATCTCCTGTTAGAGACTAGAGACATCGTTCTGGTGAGAATCTGTTCCTGTTCTTGGCTGAGGGACTGACTGAAATCTCTGTTGTCTCTGCAGGGTTTGGGATGACAACACCTGTGACAATTGCAGGCAAGGTGTTCCTGATCTTTTACGGGCTTCTGGGCTGTGCTGCTACTATCCTTTTCTTCAACCTCTTCCTGGAGCGCATCATCACACTTCTGGCCGTGGTGATGAAGGCTGTGAGGGAGAGGAGAATCAGGAACAGTGGCCTCCTCCCACCAGGCATCCGGCATGACTTTTCAGCCTACTCCCTCCCTGGATGGAAGCCCTCTGTCTACCATGTGATGCTGATTCTCGGCCTGTCGGCAATCACCATTTCCTGCTGTGCGTCCGCCATGTACACCCCTGTGGAGGGCTGGACTTACTTGGACTCGCTCTACTTCTGCTTTGTCACCTTCAGCACCATAGGCTTTGGGGACTTTGTCAGCAGCCAGGGCGCTGTTTACGAATACCAAAGCCTCTACAGGGTGGCCAATTTCTTCTTCATGCTGATGGGTGTGTGCTGCATATATTCCCTGTTCAATGTCATTTCTATCGTCATTAAGCAGGTGCTCAACTGGATGCTTGAGAAAATGAGCTGCCTGTTTTGTCAGCGTTGCAATAAGGCCAACGCCTTCTTGGGCCGACGCAATGCCATCCGCCCAGGCTCCAAGGGGCGCCAGGCCAAGTTTGGCCAGCTGCCTGACTCAGACGGACCTTGTGACAGCGACACTGAGGGACGGAGACTATCAGGGGAGATGATCTCAATGAAAGACCTCGCAGCTTCGAATAAGGTGTCACTGGCCATCATGCAGAAGCAGCTGTCCGAGTCGGCCAACGGGTATCCCAGGACAGTCTGTGGCAGCTCACGCCATAATGGCTTCTCCGGGGGAGTCGGGGCCCTCGGGATCATGAACAACAGGCTGGCAGAGACCAGTAACTCCAGGTAGAGGGGAGAAGAGCAGAGGCTTTTTACTCTCACACTTTACAACAAACACATCCGAAACACAGGACTTGTCAAAGGGATTGCCAGTGTAACTTTTTATGCATGATCCTTGTGATTTCTTATGCTTTCGATTGGAATACAAGCCTGCAGTGATGATACCGGTAAAGATTGTGATCGTTTTAGCAAAGATCAGACGATGGCGGCAAGAAGAGAGATCAACATAAGTTAATTTGGAGTCATGGGGATGACCCATCAAACATTTCATTAACCTCAAGCCCAAGAAGAGAACAATTTCAGTCTTAAAATATCATTGTTTGACTGCTGGGGAAATTGTTCGCTGTACTTACTCCGTTTATCAGACATTTTAATTCTGAAATGTTGTGCTGTAACGGAGCCAAGAGAAATTTTGCAGCATAGTTTTTATTGTCTTGGATTTTTGCCAGTTTACCTGAATGTATATGCTGAATGCTGATTTTAAAAAGTATAATAGCTGAACAATATAGCACATACTGATCTATGCATTATTCTGTACTTCTCATGCGTTTTGCACCATTTCTAGACCTTCCATTGAGTTGGCAAACCCCATTTTTCCTATTTCATCCTCAGGTGATTGATTTTTTTTCTTCTGGGGGCAACTGTGGGAAATAGACATTCTGAGCATGGCCACTATGTAGTTGATTTCAGCAGTGTGTTGGCACAGGGCAGTCTTCCAGTGCTACACTAACAGAACACACAGAGTCATTTCCTCCTCTCTCTCAAGTTGGAGAAAAGAGAACAGATGAAGAATAAAAATCTATTTCTTGCGAGAGAGGATGGCCTTCTTATCAGCTAAGCACATGTTTTGGCGGCTAAAGACATTGGCTTGAAGGGCAAAAGAAGCATCCTCTCCTTTTTTGGGTTTTCTGAAGCTCACAGCAGTTTGCGAAGGAGGAAAGGCTTGAAGTGTTTTAATTACTTATTAAACACCTTTTTTAGACAAGTATTTGCAAAAGGGGACAAATGAGAAATGCATTTATAATTGCTGGGATTAGAGGAGGTGTAGGAGGGAAATTACAGCAATATGGACGAGATTGTCAAAAGTTACTGTGAACAGCTACACTGAAAACGAGCTAAACCATCTCAAAATTGCATAATTCTAAAGATGGAAAATCATTTTAAACATTTGAAGCTGGGATTTTTTGTTGTCATTTTTGTTTTATAATATTCTAATTAATAAGAAACATGTACCATGCCAAAATGTATGCATCTCTAGAGCAGTTGTAGGCTGCTATTAGAACCTGCACTAAAATGTAAGACATATAATATAAGACATCACCATGTAGTCGTTTCCAATTTCCAACAAAAACTGGCAGAGGTTGGAGGAAGTTAAATTCTGAAAGGAAAAAAAAAAGTTCTAATAAGAAATTGTTGCTAGAAAGTCATGTTTAAATTGTTGTTAGGGGTCCAAACACTTTAAAAAAGATTACGCAGGCTCAGAAATAATAGCGCACTTTTTACATTTCAGCCAAACTCACACTTTGAGCATCACGGATGAGAAATCACAGGAAATGCTCACCACATTTTTCAGCAGGAAATAAAACATTTTAAGATTAGATGTTTAATTATGTTATATTTTTATATTTGGGGGATGCAGGATCCTGGAAATTCACCAAAACTAAACCACCCCTAACTGTTAACAAAAGGGGCGGATCATGTTTGGATGTGTGGTAAAGTCCCTGTCACGGGGATCATTTCACCTACAGAGCAAAGATTGGACTCAAATCAATTCTAGAAAATTCTCAAAGCAAACCGAAGACTGTCTGTATGAAAACATTTTGAAAAGACGATTGTTTCCACAATAATATAGTTACAGAGAACTTGCAGGTTCTATGATTGCTCTTTGAGTCTACAAGCTACATGTTGTTTAAATATAACAGTAAAGTCTGTGAACATACCTCAACAGAGGAAGCTCAAACCTTTTAAATAAAGAAATGAAAGACACTAATGTCACAATCTGTAAAATGTGAGGACTCTTACCGCACATACTGAACTTTTCAGTAGGAAAAAATGTTTAGACTTAAAAGTTTAGATTTAATCACATCGTACATAGGAGGAATATTTCATATTTACTGATATATCTGTAGGAAACCTGGTCATTTTACTTAAATTCACTGTTCAATGCAAAGATTCTTTGTTTCAACAAGATGTTATTTTTTCTACAAGATTTTTTTAATCACGTCTACAAAAGCTTTGTTTAAAAAGATGCATCTAAAAAGCCTGCAGAGATCTATTTACATATTCAGTTCAGCATGAATGTGCAGCTGAGGTTTAATGGATTGAAGGTGTTTGCAGACGATGTGTTTGCTGCCTTGTCAGGAACCACGATCAATGTTCCCGTTGCTGGGAACTATTTTCTCCAAAGCGCTGGTGATTTAAAGTAGTGTGATGCTGTTTGATGTTTGCAAACTGCCTGTCAGAGGAGGAGCTGTTGATAGTTAAACTGTCCGGGTGACGGTGATGAAAGAGGGGAACCAGAGAGTTAAGCTGGTGATAGCAGCAGTGGGAAGTTTGGGTGGCATTAATCGGCTTCTTTCACATTCACATTTTCTCCACGATGCAAATCAGCGGCCAAGGGTTAATCCACTGCATCCATCCATCTTCAGCATCTAATGTCCCTCAGACAGCTCTGTTCTTTCCCCTGTCATCTCTGCATTCACTTTACACGCACTGCAGCAAAACCCGCCTGCTTAATTTTTTCCCGGTGAAGTCAGCTCCCCGCTCTCGACGTTTACGTTTTTACTTTGAATGATTATTACATGTATATATATATATATATATATGTATGTATACATAAAGAGAGAGAGAGAGAGAGAGAGAGAGAGTGTACATGCATATGTGTGTATTTTTGGGAGTGTATGTGTAAAGCATTGGAATGTTAAAATCCCCTTTCTACAATGACTTTCAATTGAACCTTGAGCTATACTTGGTTGACTTCAGTGTATAGATCTGAATAATTTCCTTTACTCCCCACTATTAGCAGGAGGAATAGAGAAAATGACTCAGGTAGTTAAATCTTCAGGCTTGTCTAAATTCTTTTCTCCATGCCATTATGGTAAAGCCATAGCTGTACATAAAACAGAGTACTCTTTAAAGTCTATTTTTCTATATAGCTCTCAAGTATGTGCACAAGGATGATTGAAAAAGCCTCACTGTCACATGTCTAATGCTGTCAGTCAGACGGGCGATGAGATATGGCATTACCCACTCCAATAGACACACGCTTATATGACAAACAAGCAAAACATTGTTTATTGCAGAAACAAACCGGTTTCCTCTTTTTTCTTTTTGATTTTTTTTTGCAGAGTTGGATGCCAATGTGGGCACAGCTCTCATATCTTACATCGGAAACAGATTTTTTTTTTTTATCATCAAACTCAATAACGGCCGGCATCAGCACCGGGAAGAATCATGCCTTTTTTCACACAATGTATTGACATTCCAAAAAAGGAAAATCAGCGACAAACCCTGGGTCATTTGAGCTGCTGTGTGGGCATGCTGCACCAAATAACACATTACATTCAGTGGGATTTCGTGGATATAATTTGTCTTCAAGGATCTGTAAGAAGGGAGTTAATTTTTTTTCTTTTTCGAGATTAATAATTGTTTAATTATACAGTACATACAATCTCATATTCCCCCTGAGGCTTCAGGTTTCACTGATAGAGGACTTGTCCTGCACCTGCTGTGTATCCTTAACCTCATTTCTAATAAAGATCACGTGTGTTGGCATGCGTCAATTCACCCGAATCACACCTCAAGGAACTAAAGGGTAACTAAAAGACTGTTGTATATTCAAAATGTTTTCCCAAACATAACATTCAACCCCCAGAATTTACTTAACTCATACACAGTATCCACTGAGATGTATTTTCCTCAAGCTTGAATCATTTAAGATGGTGAATTATTGTGTCTAGAGTAATGTTTGGTCACCTAAAATGCATGCAGGGCTTTAAGCCAATTACCCTAATTTAGTCCTTGCATATTCCAAAAAGGCTCCTTGTAGAAACAATTATAGTGTGTAGAGCTTGTGTGTGTTGTACTATACAATCCTTTTGCATTTTGCAAACTCTATCTCCATTGATTGCAATGGTTTTAACTACCCACTGCCCTCTTTGTCTTCTGTCAGAGGGTACATGTTGTCATAGGATTTGCAGTATTTGGATATCTGCAGAAATGCCACTTAAATGTGCTTTGATTTACCTTTTTTTTTTTGCTTTTGTTCATGTTTTAGTAACACATCACCACACTGAGTGTTAGCCCAAGCTTGAATTGCTGAGACCACCACTGGCAGTATTTATGTCCAGTGAACACACCTCAGACTGTATTAGCACCAGGATGTCAATAACTGCTTCTGGTATTGAAAAAAATAAAGTTAAAAAAATAATAGAAAAGGTCAATTAAAATACTATATCATGCTTCCATTATCAATACAATTCCAATAATAAAAAGATCTGTGTGACATAAATTACTTGGGATGTTGCTGGTTTTTAATCATGATAACTGCTGATGCAGCAGTGGCACAGTTATCATTACAGGTTGATGTGTTACACTATCCTATCTCTGGTTTTGGGCAAAAGTAGAACGCACAAACTTGTAAGTGTTTTCAGACTGCTGTTAGAGGGCAGATAAACACCTTGTTGGCACAGCATACGGATGTTTGATGATACACTGTGCTTTGCTGACCCAAAGGTTTAAAAGGTGTGATGCAAAGCGCGATATCTGAGGGCAAAGGACGAGTAAGCCTTTTTTCATTCTTCCTCTTCCTATCATGGCAAGCAGTTCAGAGCAACACTCTTAATTTCGAAGCTGTTTCATGTTTCTGCAATCCATCATTATTTTGACATTTGACTCTATTGACATCAACATACATCCACACCCGCGTGTGTCTCATGTTGCTTGCATTGTGGTGTGTCAGTTCATGTATGCAAATGAATTATGTTTGCAAGTTGCACATTTATACAAATG